CCCAAGTAGCTGGGACTACAGGCATGTGCCACCGTGCTTGGCTCTGTAGATTGATTTTTTGATGGCATAGCAAATCCTGTTTTTCAATTGTCACGATGGTATTTACATGTAGTAAATATGTCAATATGAAGTTATTATACAATAATCCATCCAGTTGGCATAAAAAACATGTGTTTAGGCCTGCCAAAAATGTAACTTCTGCTCCCAGAGCCAGCTCCCCAAGTATAGAATGGGGAAAAGCGGTGATTAGGAGTTGACAGCCAAACAGTAAAAGCCTATGGTTCTCCACTGAGTTTAAGGTAAATTTGTGTCACTATGATATTGCTGAAAACAAATACAAATGATGATTTGAGGCTAAATTAGCATGTTTATATGCAGAAATTAAATTACTTTTGCAGATCACTCAGGTGCTGGGCAAGAGGAGGGACTGCCCACCCTATGTTGGTCAGACCACTGACCCAGAGTTCTGTAATCGGTTATGAGTCCTATATTCTCAGAAGCCAAGTGACATTTGTCAAAGTATAAAGAGGAAAGTGAGGGCAATCAAAGGGAGGTTGTACAAGGAGCATTAGATCTGGTACAATGTGGACATTTGTAAGGCTGTCAAGGGAGTGAGTTGCCTTCCCATCTCAGTTCTAAGTACAAGATCAGTGGGTAGATGCTATAGGCAGACAGCTTCTGATTACACACCGGAAGATAGTTGATGGTCAGAGCCATAAAAAATAGAAGGCATGACCATGGCTTCTCACATTCGTAAACATCTCATCATGTAAGATATTTAAATAACTCCCTGGTCTCTAAATTTGAAAATAGATTTAATCATAAGGTAAAGATGGAACCAAGGCCACCAGGAATGTATTTAAGGCCCAATGTAAAACTCTTTGCAGGTCCTCTAGCAAAGGCAGATGTGCCAAAAATGTTCACCCAGGCCCTGTTCTGGCAGAGTGGGAAATGTGTACTTGGTTCCCTCACTTCCTGTGTGCCCTGGATCAAAGGCACTTGCTCCAAGGTTCTGTTCCAGCTCTGAGGTCTTTTAATAAATATATGATAGACTCTTACCAGCTTGCCATGAAGTCACCTCGTCATGACCTCAAGGAAGTCCCATCTTGTCTCTAAGCCCTGATTTACAACTCTGTGAACCAAAGACATTGACTTAGATGAGCCTAAGATTCCCTTCTATTCTGATATTTTGTGATTTCATAGACACACGTGAAACAGGGCAGGAGAAGTGCTTAGAAATCTACTTATTTTAGCTAAAAAAGTTTAACTTTAGGAATCCTCCATTGAAAAATATATTATTTTCATCCCTTCTGAGTTAAAAGCATCAGAGTACAGATTAGGGTTTTGTGTGTGTGTGTGTGTGTGTGTGTGTGTGTGTGTGTGTGTGTGTGTGTTAAACAGGGATTCAAGGAAATAAAACAAGTTAAGGAAGTTTATTTTTATTTTTTGGTTGGTTTTTTGAGACAGGGTCTCAGTCTGTTCCCCAGGCTGGAGTGCAGTGGTACAATCACAGCTCACTCCAGCCTTGACCTTCTGGGCTCAAGGGATCCTCCCACCTCAGCCTCCAAAGTAGCTGTGACCATCATAGTCTTGGGCCACCATGTCTGGCTAATTTTTGTCATTTTTTTTTTCTTTTTGGAGATGGGGTTTCTCCATGTTGCCCAGGCTGGTGTTGAACTCAACAGCTCAATTGTGCTGCTCACCTCAGCCTCCCAAAGTGCTGGGATTACAGGCATGAGCCCCCACACCCTGCCTCAGGGAAGCTTTACAAAGCAAGATGGGAAGGATGGATCTGGGGCCTGGAGAGCAGGATCTGAGCTCTTTGAAAGGGTTTGGGGATGGAAGAAGTGCTTGGAAGGAGAACATTTCCCAGTCAGTCCCAGCAAGGGTCGGAGTCCACCAAACATAACCCAGAGGAAGTGAATAGAAGAAATGGCATTCCCAAAGCTATTTCTGGGCTGCCTCCTAACCACAACAGGAAGCCTTCTCTGATAACCATTCCTCCGCTGGCTGAGTGCCATTGTGTGGTGTCTCTGTTACTGACACAGTTGTTCTTTCCAGGCTTCAGTCTCCCTAGCTGGACTAGACTGTCATTCATGATCAGTTCCTACTCTCTAGAATTCTTGGACGTGATGTGGAAGGTGAACCTGGAGTTTGCAGTTCCAAAAGAAAAATGGTGAGCTGGATTCTCTCTGCCATCCACCTCAATGAAGGAACTCTAGACTTCAGACACACCCACTGTAGCCAAGCTGAATGGGTCCTTGCCCATTTCAGAGACTTACCCGGGAGCTGACATGTCCAGAGCTTCCACCTGCAGATCCTGATGAGTCTACACTGGCCTGAGCTCAGGGCTAGCTGGAAATGGGAGCTAGTACCCTTGCAGAAGCAGCGCTCTACCAATTTAGGAAAAGAGCTAGAGAAGGATGGACCAAGACTTCCTGGCCCCTTAGGTCTCCTAGGAGTGGTTTCTTAGAGGGTTGCAACTGGGATTGAGCCTACCTATCCACAGCAATACCTCATGTGTAACATCCTTCATTGGCCTTTTCTCCTTACCTATCGTGTGAGACTCCCTAACAGTGCTCCCTGGAATTCGCTTCCAAATAAATTACCTGTACACGAGTCCCCATCAAGAGGGCTACCCTTAGAAGGAACACAGGCTCAGATGGCCATTAAACTCTACAAAGGCCATTTTGGCCCCTGCTGGGTGCAGCTTCATTGCTAAGTCCCCTTTCATGGAACTTACAAGGGAAGACAATGGCAGGGCCCCAGTGGAAGTTGCTGTGAAAACCATTGCCCTGGGCACCATGTTCATCCCCTCCCCCATCCCATGCATTCATCTCTGTCTTCTTTTTCAAATTTGATTTTAAATATTTACAGCATCATATATCTTCCCCCACCAGATATTACTAATGAACTGTTATTGTCTGCAAAACCTCCCAGATGAGTGATGGCCAACTTAAAAAGAGCATCAATGTTTTATTCGTAAAATAGAAGATGGAAACAGAAAATGCTTATGCACTTTTAGGCTTTTCATCATTATTATTATTGATACTCCAGTACAGAGGAGGCACTTGGGCAATTAGCAAAATCAAACAGAACTGAAGATTCTACATAGCAATAAAAATTATATAAATATGTAAATGTTTACAAACGTTTAAATCAATAAGTAGGGCACATTTCAAGAAAATGTTAATGTTCAACCTGTACATTTCAAGAAAAATGTGGAATGCTAAATGCCTTTCCTGAGGGTGAATATCTCATTGACAAAGAAGAAACTCCAGATACTGCACTGTCCTGCCAGAGAGAGGGCTGTGCCACTGTCAATTTGTATTTCTTGATTGCAGCAAAACTTCAGAGACCCTCGTGGGCATTAACATCAGCCTCCTGGAATTGACTTGTATTCTGTTCCCATTGGCCCTGCCTTTCTTCTCTTACTTCTTTTTCATAATGTGAACCCCAGACGGAGGTTCCTCTTCTGATTCTGGCAGGCAGCCTGGCTTAGTAGACAACAGAGGATGCCTCTTGGTGACTAGATTCTGGGAGCCACAGAAATTAGAGTTCAAATCTTAGCTGGCCTTTCCAGCTGTGTGACTTGGAGCACACTAGCCTCTCTGAATCTCAGCTTTTTTATCTTTTAGGTAAAGACAACAATACTACCCTAAGCTAATGCAGACCACGTGCTTAGTGTGGGGACTGGTCCCTCCCAAGTGCTCAGTATGAGTGGCTATTCCCTGCCCAGCATGCAGTAAATGAGCCCAATTTCTGTAGACTCTGTAGGCTCTACTAATGGGAGGACCTGCATTTTTAAATGGTTTGTCTTTGCCCAGTGAATCTGTGATTCCAGGTAGCCCAGCCTAGGTGAGATCATGGCATTCAAGTGAGCTAGAATGTTCTCATCACCACAGATTTAAGGCTTTTACTGGAAACAATTTCCTTCTATGTTGATAGGGAGTGGTTGAGAACCCATGCCCACCACTCAGCCTCCTTGAAGTGGCAGCCAGCACAACTTCTCCAGATGTCATTTTGCTAAGGGGGAATTCAGGAGGGCGGAGACCATACTGGGAAAATAAAGCAATGGAGAAATACTAGAGGGGTGGGAGTCAAGCACTTGGGTTCACCTTCCAGACCCACCACTGGTGGCTATGTGACCTTAGGATAATATAAGATAGTTGGGGTCTTTAAGAGTGTGAACTGCGGTCTAAAAGTCCTGGTCTAGAAATTTGGCTTTACTACATCCTTATCTGTATGTCTTAGGGAAAAAGGCCTATCCTTTCTTGGCCTCAGTTTCCTCATCTGTAAAAGTTCAAAATGCGTCCTATATAGAGAATGCCCTGGACAGCAGCAGACTTACAGGAAGTGCTCATAGCCATTATTGCTAAAGTCCTGTTTTCTCCTCTGTATAATAGGATGGTCATTTCTTGCCCTGCCTACCTCAGAGGGCTTCAGAGAAACTCTTCCTAGGCTAGCTCTTCATAGGATGAAATCATCTGCAGTCTCAAATAATGATTAATGCTCTTACTGTTTCTGCACCAGATTCTGGATGGCTGCTTGAAAGAACTTTCTTCAAAAATTAGCACTGACCAATTACAAGAAAGAAAGAACACACATATGTGATTTCATTTAACTGTCCTAGTTGAGGTCATTGCCCAAGTTATGGAAACTGATCATCTTCTACCCTCATGACAAGTTCAGGTCTCCCCATTCTTCCATGTTGCTGCAATTTTCTGAAACAAGAGACCCAGTCCTCTCCAGAGGGGAGACTCTTCAGCTTCTCAGGGTTCAAAGCATCTCTAATAAGCTAGATATTGGTGCTCTTTTTTCCTTGGAGAGAAAATAAGTAAGTCTCATAAAGATATTTGCCTTCTGCACACCTGATCTACTCCTTTCTCTGGAAATATTTAGCCAAAACCTATTACATATCTTCTCCCTTCTCAGAGAGCTGGGTAAATGGAGTTTGCTAAGGACTTGGATGCCAGGAGAGAGAATTATGGAGGTGATAATTAGCATGTTTCCTCATCCATGAGGCACTTTGTGCCTCCAAGAGATGGGTAACAAGCGTCTAGAACTCCACAGTGGGTTAGGAAATCAAAGGTTCTCAACCATCACCACCACATACCCCACTGAACCAGCTACCCAGGTAAACAGATACAAATTCTGCCACAGTCTCTTTGGGGTTTAATTTTCACAGGTCTCTGGTGGCAGTGCACATACAGTTAATTCAGTCACTTTTTCCCAGGATGACAGGTTTTGTTGCTATTTCTATTCTGAAACACTGACTCACACTGTTAATTTAAACTGTGTGTGTAACCGTGGAGATTTCATTACCTTTGGCATTTTTTTTTTTTCTGTCCTAGAAAATCTAATTTCAGAACAGAGAGGAGAAGGTAAAAGTCACTTTCACTCCCTGCACTCGAATCATTCACATACACAAAAGTTTGCATTGGTCTACTAGAAGAAATCCCCACTGGTGCCATTTTCTACCTTGTTGCCTAATGAAATAAGAAAAGTGTGGCTCTGAGAGACGCCAGCCGATGTGCCATTCCTGCCAAGCAAGACAGATAGGAGACCCAGCTCTGCAGCAAACTTAACTCTGAGCTGTGATTTCCCTGTCCATAAAAGAAGAAAGTTGAACCAGGTGATCATTAAGGAAATTTCCAGCTTTTACATTGCAGAGAAATCACCCCATGGTAGTCTTTTCCTGAATGTGTATCATAGAATACTGGTTTAAACCTTCATCAGGCCATTCAAAAGATATTTACCGAACACCTCTTTTGGCACCATGGGATGTCTAGATGCTTGTAAACTGCAGTGGTTAAGAGCATGATTCTGGTGTCAGAGGCTTATATCAGAGGCCTGGCTTCACATCACTTACTAACTACGTGAACCTGGACAAGTTCTGTGCCTCAGTTTTTTTATATATAAAATGCAGTAATAATCATATCTGCCTCATCGGGTTATTGTAAATATAAATGAGTTAGCTCATATTGTAAATATGAAAGAGTCACGTGCCAGGCAAAGTACTTAGAACTACGCTTGGCTTGCAATAGGTATTGTTTTTTGTTGTTATAACAGCAGTGAGCAAAAGCCAACATAGTCACTGTCTTCAAAGAACTTACAGTCTTATATGGGAGACAGATACTTATCAAACACTCATTCAAACAAAGATAAAATTGCAATCATGGCAAGTTTTATACCTGTATATGTTGCTATAAGAGCTTATAATATGGATATTTTGACCCAGTTAAGGAAGGTTTCCCTAAGCTTGATCTTAGATACAGAGAATAATACAGGAGTTTCATCAAGGAATGCAGGGTATTCTTTAAATATAGTCAACATTGAAAACATAAAAGAATTTAAAAAGGCATTTCAGGCAGAGGAATCAGCCTGTTCAAAGGCCTGTGGAAGAAGGAAGCAGGTGCGATGCCCTGAGGCTGGTTCTGTGTCCTCCTGGGTACCTGAGTACATGCTGGGATCGCAATTCCCTGCCTCCATGAAAGTAGATGTAAACATGTGACTTGTTCTAGCCAATGGAATATGAACATACATGTGTGCACATGAACAACATGCCTGCATGGAAACCTCAAGAGCTAGCATGCAATTGGCTATGCTTTCTTATAGTGTGCACGCACCCCTGCAGCGTGCCACTGCTAATACACACTAGATATGTATTGTGAGCAATAAATGAGCCTTTGTGCAAAAATTTTAAGATGCTGAGATTTGGGGGCTCCTTGTTGCTTCAGCTTAACGTACCATATCCTGATTCATAAAGAAGGTCAATGAAACTGGCAATAAGAGCATATTGTGTAACACAAGACAGGGCAGTATTTAGGGTCAAAAGTAAGGAGCTTTATTTGCCACATTAAGAAGAGGTGATACCATCCTAAGAGCAAAGGCAAGTTACTGCAGGATCTAAAAGGAAGGATTTATTGCATGGCCCAGGCAAGATATCATGATAGTTTTGCTATAGTGGTGGTGGCAGAAACAGGAAGTAGTGGACATCTTTGAGGTCTATCTGGGAGGTTGGAATTGATGGGACTTTGGTGATAGACTACGAGCAGTGAAACAGGAGGAGGCTTCCATATTGCTGGCTTGTCCAACTGGACAAATGATGGGACCACTTACTGAGATGGCTCATAGTAAAAGAGGAGCCAAAAGCAGGGTTTCCATTAGCAAAACTTTCTAGTGTCCAAGAACAGTTTCCAGCAGAAGGCTTATATCAGCATTCATTCATCAGCAAGAAAAAACTCAACTCTAACTGACAGTGCAGGTATTTTTAAAAATATGTCCAAGTAATCATGGAAGCAAAAAATGTGCTTCAGAAAAAGAATTTCTCCCCCCAGCACCAGAAGGAAAACATACAGAAAAAACATTATTTCTGTCATTTTTGTAGAGGTGGGGGATTTTTTCCCCATGACATATTATGATAAATATATCACGTGGCCTATTAAGAATCCAAAATGGGAAGTAAAACTTGTTTGTTCTATTTGACTTTACGGAAACTAGAAGCAACACAAAACTTGGAGTCAGAGGAGCCTGTGTCTGAACCCAAGATTTTCCATTTATTAGCTGGGTGAACTTCGTCAATTATGTTGGTATAAATTTCTCTACATCCCAATTCTGTCATCTGTACTACTAATACAGAGTATTAATGTCCATATTTCAGCTGAGTGTATCAGACAGGATAATATATATATGACTTGCTTAATACATATTTCCTTAGGCTGTAGTAGGTGCTCATTAAATGTTAACCTCTTACTGGAGGGATTATCTGACATTGAGATATTAATAGAAGGTTTGTAATAGAGGTGTGAGACCTGGATAAGATGACTAACTTCTCTTTTTTTATGAAGATCTTGCTCACATAATTCTAAATAGAATAAAGAGTAGCTAATTGGGATTATGATTCCTGCTTCAATTCCTTCTTGTAGAGATTAAAAATAGATTGAACAACGTTGCTTATGCCAGAAAACTAAAGTAGGGCTCTTGCTTTCTGCTTTTGCCTTGAATCTGAGGTGGCTAATAGTCACAGACAGCAAAGAGAAATAGAAAGAGAGAAAGCTTGCCAGTCCTGATTGGGAGGCTGGTTCTTTGAAGAAGTTCCTGCCTCATGCAGACAGACCATGCAAGAGGCAAGTTGTATTTCCCTTTCACCCCTTACCTAAATGAGCCTGTCACCGGTAACACATGGGCCAGTAACATTAACTAATAACATCTACCAGTTAATCTAATAGCTACTTTAATTTTGAAATGCCATTGAGCATAAATAAATGTTCTCAAATCCCTGAGACAACTGCAATATAAAATGAAAATATCAGGGATTTCTATTGGTGAATAGAATCACAGGTACCATTAGTACCATTGCAGTTTGTTATAAACATTTCATCACAGATTACAATTGTAATAGGTAGAAGTTAGCAGAGGTATTTTTTTCTTATTCAAGTTCATTCCCCTTCCCTACTGGGATTCTACCCAGGTACCCACCACACAGTGTTCAGTGCCTGCAGAAGTCAGGTTTTTTTAATGCAATAGTTTTATTCAGATATAATTAACATACCACCCAATTATTCATTTAAAGTATGTAACTCAGTGGTTTTGGTGGCTTTCAGAGAGCTGTGCAATTGTCCGCACAATTTTAGAACATCTTTATCTTCTTCAAATGAAACCCCACACCTGCAGCAATCACTTCCCCCCCACTTTCATCCAGACCTAGGCAACCACTAATCTCCTCTACAGTTTTGCTATTCTGGAAATCATACAGGCCAGGCATGGTGGCTCACATATGTAATCCCAGCACTTTGTGGGAGCCAAGGTAGGCAAATCACTGGAGGTCAGGAGTTCGAGACCAGCCTGGCCAACATGGTGAAATCCTTTCTCTACTAAAAATACAAAAGTTAGCTGGGCGTGGTGGTGCACACCTGTAATCCCACTTACTTGGGAGGCTGAGGCAGGAGAAACAATTGAACCTAGGAGGTGGAGGTTGCATTGAGCCACAATTGTACCACTGCACTCTAGCTTGAGTGACAGAGTGAGATTCCATCTCAAAAAAAAAAAAAAAAAAGCATACAGTATGTGGTTTTCTATAACTGGCTTTTTACACATAGCATGTTTTCAGGCTTCCTCTATGTTGTAGCATATATCAGTACTTCATTTCTCTTTTTTTGATGAATAATATTCTATTATACAGATACAACAATTTGGTTTATTCATTCATCAGTTGCTAGATATCTGAGATGTTTCTGGTTTTGCCTATTATGAATAATGCTGTTATAAATATTGGTGTAGAAATTTTTGTGTGGACATAAGTTTCTCTTGGGTATATCTAAGAGTGGGATTTCTAGGTCATGTGGTATCTCCATGCTTAACTTTTGAATAGTTATTCAAATAATTAAAGTGACTGTAGCATTAGTTATTCAAATATTCAAATAAAGTGACTATACCATTTCACATTTCCACCAGCACTACATGAGAGCTCCAATTCTCCACAACTAATCTAATACTTGTTATTACCTTTTTATTATAGCCTTCTTAGTGCATGTGAAGCGGTATCTTATTACGGTTTTGAAGAGCATTTCTCTGATGGCAAATGATGATGCACAACTTTGTAAGCACTTACTGGCCATTTGTTTTTCTTCTTTGGAGAAATATATATTCAAGTTCTTTGCCCATTCTTAAACTGGACTGTCTTTTTATTATGGACTTGTGTATGTTCTTTCTATACTCTAACATGATTTTTTATCAGATATTTGATTTTCAACTGTTCTACAATTCTGTGGATGTCTTTTCACTTTCTTGACTGTGTGCTTTGAAGAGGACAGAATTTAATGTTGATGAAGTCCAATTTATCTATTTTCTTTTTCCTTGTGCTTTTGACACCATAGCTAAGAAAGCTCTGCCTAATCACAGAACATGAAGATTTACTTCCGTATTTTCCTCTAGCAGTTTTATAATTTTCACCCTTATGTTTAGATATTGAGTTACTTTTTGTGTATAGTATGAGTAAAAATCGAACCTTATTCTTTTATCTGTAAATGTTCAGTTTTCCCAGCACCATTCATTGAAAATACTGTGTTTCCCCATTAAATTATCTTGGTACCCTGGTCAAAAATTAATTAACTATAAATGTGAAGGTTTATTTCTTTATTTAAGGCTTTGGTTTTTTTCTAGCTTTATTGAGGTTTGATTGACAAATAAAATTGTATGTATTTAAGATGTACAATATAATGTTTTGAACTATGCATGCATTATGTAATGATTGCAAAAACAAGCTCATTAGCATGCCTACCATCTCACAATCCCACTTGGTTATCTTTTTTTATAGTAAAAACACTTAATATCTACTCTCTAAGCAAATCTCCAGTATACAATAGGCATATATTATTAATTATAGCCATTTGCTGTGCATTAGGTATCTAAAACTTTTTCATCTTATAACTGAAAATTTGTACCCTTTACAGAGCATTTCCTCATTTCTCCCACTCCTTTGCCCTTGGTAACTACCATGCTACTTTCTTCATGTGAGTTCTTTTTTTTTTTTCAACTCAACATGTGCGATCATACAGTGTCTTTCTGTGTCTGCCTTATCTCATTTAGCATAATGTCCTCCAGCTTCATGATGTTTCAAATGGTAAGATTTCATTCCTTTCAAGCGAGTTTCATTCGTTTTCAAATGAGTATCCATTTTCTTTATCTGCTTTTTCAATGAGAGATACCTAGGTTGCTTCCATATCTTAGTTATTGTGAGTAAAGCTGCAATGAACATGGAAGTGCAAATGCCTCTTTAACATACTGATTTCAATTCCTTTGGATATAATACCCAGACACAAACAAATTATTGGATTATATAGTATTCTATTTTTAGTTTTCTGAGAATCCTCCATCTTGTTTTCCATGATGATTGTTCTAATTTACATTCCCACCAACAGTACACAAGGGCTCCTTTTCCTTCGCATCCTAGCTTACTCGCTACCTATTGACTTTTTGATAATTGTTATCCTAATAGGTATGAGATGATGTCTCAGTAAGATTTTAATTTGCATTTCCCTGATGATTGGTGATGCTGAGCACCTTTTTCATATGCCTATTAGTCATCTGTATGTCCTCTTAAGAAAAATGCCTCTCCAGGTTCTTTCTCATTTTTAAATTGAGCTATCTGTAATTTTGCTATTTAATTGCTTGAATATCTTATATATTTTGGATATTAATTCTTATTGGATATATGGTTTGCAAATATTTCCATCTATTACATAGGTTACCATTTCATTTTGTTTATTGCTTCCTTTGCTGTGCAGTAATTTTTAATTTTATTTAGTCCCTCTTGTTTTTGTTTCTTGTGATTCTTGTGTCATATTCAAAAAATGTCATTGCCAAGACCAATATCAAGGAGATTTCCCCTATGTTTTCTTCTAAGAATCTTACATTTAAGTCTTTAACTTATTTAGAGTTGAATTTTGTTTGTGATATCAGATAATGGTCCAATTTCATTCTTCTGCATGTGAATGTCTAGTTTTCCCAACAACTTTGTACAGACTATTGTTTTCCCACTGTGTGTTTTTGGTGCTTTCTCAAAGATTAATTGATTACATATGCCTGGGTTTATTTTTAGGTTCTCTATTTTGTTCTATTGGTCTGGCTTCCTTTGTTATGCCAGTTTTATAGTATTTTGATTACTGTAGGTTTGTAATATAATTTGAAATCAGAATGTGTGATGACTCCAGCTTTGTCTTTATGCACAAGATTGCTTTAACAACCTATCTGAAAAAGCTCATGCTTGCTATCTGTAGGGGTGCATTCAATGAGCTGGCCACAGGGGAAGCCATGTGTGAGACACATAGAGCATTGGGGGTCTTTGTGCGCCAGTTGATGGGGTTGGCCAGCAAGACATTCTAAGAGACTTGTGGGCAAGCTTCCTAATGGAGTTTGTGATCCACAGACCTTTGTTGACTTCTGAGTCCTGGCTGCACTGAGAACCAGCCTCTCTTCCCTATTGCTAACCTCTCTAAATCACTCTGCCATGCCAGTCCCTTCAGTATTCTGGGCGGGACAAGAAATAAATGGTCGTTGAGGGCAGTGTCCTGCAAAGCTGAAAAAGCTAGATGCTTACTCACTGCATTCTGACTTTCCTCCCTGGGAAAAACTGCAGGCCAAGGGAGTCTCTCTTCGCACTGATCTGTGCCGCCTTGAGAGAGGTGATACAGATAAAGTAAAACTGTTCTTCTTATGTTCTTCAATATATCTATTCTTGAAGTTTTTTGCTTTAATAGTGTGCTAAACTTTTCCACTGGACTTCTATACTCCCACAAATGTGCTCTTGTCCATGAATTGTTGCTAAAAATCTTTCTGTATGAAGATGACAGGGAAAACTTATATTTCACCATTTTTCTGATATTACTCCATTTAAGAAGGCAATTTTATTCTCACAACAGTTTTATGAAGTGATCATTATTATTTTTTTCACCTTCCAGACCAAAAAGAACTGGGTCAGAAAGGGTAAGTAATTTGTAAAATATGAAATACCCAGAAAGAGGTGAAGCTGGAATTCGAACTTATGCATGTGTCACTACAAGCCTTGTGCAGCCTGAGATTTAGCAGTAGCCTTGATTCTGGCCATTCAGCCAATC